TTCTCTACACCTTCCAGTTTCAACTAGATTGTATCAGAATAAACATCATGGTACCATTGGAATTGGAAATGTTTGCTGGCCGGCGGAATTCCCCCCCCCCCCCCCCCCCACAAACCGTTTCTCACCAGTTTCCTCCCCCTTGAGGTGTCTTAATTTAGCAAAAAAGTTTGGCATCATCATCAAGGAGCAGGTCCTTTACAGAACAACTCTCCCATCTTACACAATGCTGCTCCCATCCTACAGAATGACACTCCAATCTTACAGAACAACTTTTCTGTCTCAACCCACCTGAAAGAAACTAAATCTCTCACCAGCTCTCCCACCTCATATACTTGTCTGAACAAGGTGTTATTTCAAAAAAAACAGTTAGGCTGTTCAATATGGCTGTCCAAGGAATTTTCAGCATTCTCCTGTAATATCACATTTCTGTGACTCGAGGGAATTTTTTTAACGTTTTGAATAAGAAATCCAAAGCCAACCTAAAGATGTATCACAGAGATAAAGAACAGAATAGGACAGGCCATAACTCCATTTTATAAAATGAAGAATGTTGTATGCAATAAATCCATATCACTGGAAGCTAGAAAAAGAATTGTTGAATGATATATAGAGGATGGTCTGTAAAAATATGGATGCTCTTCTCATATATCTGATACGTTTAACGGCGTGAAAAAGGTTCTTTACTTTTTTTTAAAAAACTATTTTTATTTATTTAATTTTTGTGGTCATAAGTCACATAGGTTATAAACCACATAGGTTATAAACCACATAGGTTATAAACCACATAGGTTATAAACCACATAGGTTATAAACCACATAGGTTATAAGTTAAGGGGAAAATGTATTTGCTATGGTACTACCTTTACCCATTAAATTAGAAGAAAAAAATCAGCAGTTATGATTACAAGTATTCAAGAAGCTCCAACATATAAACAAGGTCATTTGCAAACACAACAAAACAATGCAAATGTGACAACTGAGACATTTTGTGAACTTAATATATCAAGTCATTATCACATATATTTTAATACAACTGTACACAAAACCTAGTTCTTGAAGCTTTGAACTGGCAAATGTTAACGGGTAAAACAAATGTGACAAAGAAATTAGAAAACTGTTGTGACAAATTCTTCTTCTTCTTTGCATTCAACAGCTGTAAACTCTGGCGGAAAGTCCTGGCTGTTCGTTCCCTTTGGGACTTTGATCCTGCTTCAGAACCTGAGTTTTGCGTGCACATCTCCTGGTCATACATTTATAAATATTGGATAATAAATATAAATGCGTAGGATGAAAAAAAACCATTTAAAAAAAAACAAAATAAAAACATGACAATTTTTCTCAAATTCAGAACTAAGATCCCAACAGACATGAATGTTTTGTGGCAAAAGAAAAGACTACACACTTTTAAATGAAGAACTGCTTGTGAAATCTGAATTGGGTGACAGTGTCAACAATTTTTAATTACAATGTGTACCCAAAAACATTCTGGCAGATTAATGTGTGTGGAGTCTGATACCAGGTCAAAGTTGAAAGCTACATCATAACAACAACAAAATCACAGAATAAATTGCACATTTCTAACAATAAAAATACAAAGAAACAAACAAAATATTGAATCTTTTCTTAACAGAATTAAACAACGGTGAAAACAGTTTACAATTCAGATAAGCTAATAAGAAAAGGTCTTATCATGAAGATCAGCCGAACATGTTTTAAAAATTATCATCATCAAGAGCCCTGTTAAAGAGCACTGACAATCATTATTCTTCATATCTTACTATCTCAACACAAAAAACATGTATCATGTGCTTACAGCCTTCCATACTATGAAAAAAATACTATCTAGAATCTTCTCTCATTGTGTCTATCTTTCTTTCAAGGTGTCTTATATTATCTGAATATTTCTTGAACATTTCTTGAATCTAACTAATTCCTGTGTTACCAACAATTCCATCAAACTCACTCTCTGCCTGTAACTTTGCTTGGTTTTCGCAGTTATGTGTTACTAACCAATGGTCAATGAAGCGCCACCTCTTATCTATTATTTATATAAACTGGGATTACCTGGGCTCTCTAATGGTAATCCCCATCATCATCATGTAGCAGGTGCTTTGCAGAACATCACTCTCATCACAGTTTGCCTGAAAGAAACTCGGTTTCTTGGCAGATCTCTTTCCTCAGGTACTTTCATATTTAAGGTGTCACCTATATCCTGAGCCCATCTTCATGCTGGTCGCCCCTGTCCCTCCTACCATGCCTTCTGCTATTATTTTTCCCAATCCATTAAGGCGCTTGAAATTTCAAAATATTTAAGTTTCGAGATAAGATGCTGTTTACTAACCAATCTTTCTTGATTTTAAAATCTTTTAAAATGCCTGTTTCTTCTTTTCTTTGTCCATGGTATTCTGAGAATCTTTCTATAGCATTTCAGCTCAAAAGCCTCTATTTTCTTTCTTAAGAACTTGGAGATAATCCACGACTCACAGCCGCATGTTGCTACAGGGAAGATGCATGCTCTCAAAATTTTAATTGTGATTTCCTTGCTGGTGCTTAACCACAGACTGTTAATGCTGTTTAATATTTGCATTGCTATGGCCATCCTCCTTTTGATTTCTGTCAGTCTCCACTGTTATTTATTATAAAACCCAGATATTCAAAGTGTGTGACATTTTCAATTTCCTTATCATTTATTGTTACTTTTGGGTAACGGCCAGTTTTGTCTGTGGTAATCCCCATACTGATGCCATTTCAACACTAGAAGAATCCCATTATCTGCCAACAGAATGTGTTGTTTGACTCAAGGGTGCAGTTTTTATGAAGATGCCAGGGGATCACTGCAGTAGCAGACAGCTAGCCGTTCTGAGCAGATTCCAAGCCACCTGGTATAAACCCCGGTGCAATGGGGAGATAACTTCTCTCAACCTCAACTTTAGACTTGCAATGAGGAGATACTTCTCTCAACCTCAACTTTAGACTTGCAATGAGGAGATACTTCTCTCAACCTCAACTTTAGACTTGCAATGAGGAAATACTTCTCTCAACATCAACTTTAGACTTGCAATGAGGAGATACTTCTCTTAACCTCAACTTTAGACTTGCAATGAGGAAATACTTCTCTCAACATCAACTTTAGACTTGCAATGAGGAGATACTTCTCTCAACCTCAACTTTAGACTTGCAATGAGGAGATACTTCTCTCAACATCAACTTTAGACTTGCAATGAGGAGATACTTCTCTCAACCTCAACTTTAGACTTGCAATGAGGAAATACTTCTCTCAACATCAACTTTAGACTTGCAATGATTCTTATATTTAAATAAGTTTACATTTAAAAGACTTTATCATGAAATACATGCAAGAGATTCAACTTGACAAAAGTTATTAATTTAAACGAGGGATGGCTGACTAAGTGTTTAATAAACAGGGCTCCCATACTGGAGACCTGGGTTGGACTTCAGCAAGGTGATAGAAGTTTTTCTGTCTGGAGCAAAAATAAAGGCTATCCTCCGAATAACCGGCGTATATTATGGCGGCCACAAAAACACCCTTACAGGGCCTCAGTCACATGTAAATTGAGGATTTCCAGCTTCCGCATCTCCTGCAGCTTTACTCGTAAGTCCCAGCCATCTAGTTTAGCCCCAATCCAAGCCGTGCGTAGCGGCATGGGAGATACTCTCGGTGGTGGCGGTATAGACACCAGAAGTCCGCAATTTAAATGTGACTGAGGCTATGTTTTGGCAGCCATAATATGTGGCCGTTATTCTGAGAATAGCCTAAATAAACATCCTCACCTTCGTGGCAACTGCAATAGCCATGCAGCATAAAACCCCAGACCCCCGCTGTCTTACACTGCCCCAAAACAGTGGTAAATAAAGGCAGTAAAGTAAAAACAATTAAATGGATGATTTGAAAGTGTACCGGAAGGTTAAACTTCAGATTCTTAAATAAAAATCTTGATTTCTTCAAAATATAAAGCAAATTCAACAATGTCAATCAGGTGTAGTTCCATCTGTCTTGCCCCCGTACCCAAGCAATCTAGGTTATTCATCTCTGCCTTTTCCCATTTTTTTTCTTTTCCATCAATCTTCTCAGCCGTTACCAAGTTCTTGAATCATCATAATGTCCAAAGGATATCGACTCTGTGTCTTATTTCTCTAATCATGTGAAATCATGACTTTTCTTGGCAGTAAAGGTAATTCGTCATTGCTTTCCTTCCTGGCAGTCACTACATGTATCAGATGACTAAGTGATCCTCTACCAACCGTCAAGAAACTTAAGCCCATGACCAACATATCACCATATGTTTGTTAATTTACACAATACATAGTTTGCATTAACTAACACCTGACGAACTATTCTTCTGTTATTTAAACTTATTTCTACTGCAGTGGCAGCTTGAACACTTTCTATACAACAAAATTCATCATTTGTTTACTGGGTAGTTTAAATACAGTAGACAGTGCAGACTCCATTCTTCTTCTTCTTCACGTTCAACGGCTATAAATCCTGCAGAAAGTTCTGGATGTTTGTCCACATCCGGATTTCAGTCTTGTTTCAGAACCTGAGTGTTGTGTGAACATCTGTTTCACAGATCTGGCTTATTTCTATGCAGACTCTTGGTTCCTTGCCTCTCAGGCAGATTTACTCCAACTCAAAAGGATGGTCCCAATTAGTCAATTCCTATGATATGCTTGTTGGGGTATTTTGTTTTCTCCCAGAACCCATACATGGAAGACACCCTTCTATTAGAGAGTTAACAAATTAACCAAATTGTTAGTTGAATCCTTTGTCTCTTGGTGTTATTATTTTAATTTCTTTGAACTCAATCTCTGACAACTTTAAACTAAAATGTCAGTGATGAAAAGATTTAAAGTAATTACAGACTTGTGGAATAATACTGTTAACTCATCCTGTTTCCATTTTTCTATTTTAGTTCCCTGAAACACAAAGACTGTTGCCTGAAAGCTCAGTAACAACAGTCTACTACTAAAAGAGTTAATCAAACTTTGGTACTGCACGAACAATGTAAACTATTAGTGTTGCTATCCTTTAGGTTAAGATCTTGGTCAGACTTGCTGTAAGACAAAAGCTCTTGTGTAGCACTGCTCGATGGAGTGACCCCACCACACGTCTGCAAGTACGATCGGGAAGTTGACCTCGCTGGTGGTAAATGCAGCACAGCGCTCGGTTCCTCATACTCCCCCCATCCGAAGAACAAATAGCCCAGCCCGAAACCCGCAAGGACAGAAATAAGGATCCATATGTTGTAGGTCATTACTGCCAACATTAAAGCATATCCTCCGATGAACTGAAGCAGGTACATCAGAGTCTGCAGCAAGTGTCCTTTGTTCAAAATGTACCGCCTGTGGAGAGAAGAAAAGAAAGAAAAACTGGTGTAAAAAAACATCAACAAGCAGCAGGATCTTTACAAAACATCGCTCTCATCACAACACACCTGAAAGTTTGTTTTTCTCTAGCCAATTCCAGCCCTATGTGCTTTCATAGCCAATGCATCTTCAGTGTCTTCTGTCCTCATTCGTGGAGGTCTGTCTACCTCGTTTTCCCGGAAACTGTACCTGCCATCACTGTTCTCTCCAGCCACCATGACCTTTAACAAATACCTCAGGTTTTGGGACAGGGTTTTGTTTATGAGCCAATTCTCCTCATAGCTCAAATCAGGAAAGGTGGTAATGTTTTCCTTTTTCTTGGTCCATGGTATTCTAAGAACTGTGTAAAAAACAAAAACCAGAAGGAATATTATAGCAGGAAAAGAAAATAATAAAGACATAAAAACCAGGACTGAAGGAGTCATTACTGAAAGAGAACATGTCTGGCAGTTTAAAGTGTTCTGGCTATAATAGAGACAGTTCCTTGTTAAAGGATGTGTTGTATGAAACTGGCAGGCATGTGCTAAGAGGAAGACAATGTTACAGGTGGGCACACACACAATGAAGAGATGAATTGTAAGACACCTTAGGAAACAGAGACGAGGTTGTTGAAAGCTGACTATTGGCACCCTTCACTGAGGAGATAGCACTAAACTTATAAGATGGAAATAGTGCTATAGCCTGTTTCAAATAAATCACATGACAAATGGAAAGACAGGTGGAAAGAGAGAGATAGAGGAAGACAACATCAGAAGATTCTTGAGAGCCTTTTGTGGTGGTAGGGAGAGGTAACAGAACATGAACTGATATATGTTGTTGGAGATCAAAGGTTGTGGAGATGGAGAGGCATGGTTCCCCCCCCCCCTTTTCCCAGTTGGCAAGGCACTTAATGATGATAATAAAATATACATCCTATAAAATATGGCTATGGTACTTACTTGCAGTGTAGATTACGACATCTGCGCCCATACTGTTGACGAGCGAACTTTATGCCTTGGTAGGCAATGCCTAGAACCACCAGCAACAGGCACGTCAAGTAGGTTTCTGAAATTAAAATTTGTTTCCAATATTGAAATTAAATATTTTATAAAATTAAAAGTTTCTTAAATTAAAATAACATAGTTTCTTAAAATACAAACTCCCTTTGTGTTACGGGGCCTCATTTTTTTATTTTGTGGTGGGAAGAGGGGGTGAGGATAGACCAATTGTCTAAAAAAAAAAAGTGTAGTGTAAAAGGCGACTAATTAGAGACGTGTCATTCAAAACTGAAGTTGCATCTGCCTGACAGGCGACGAATCCATAATGTGCATTCAAATAAGCTACGTATGCAAAACGGCTGTGCAGGTAAACAAAAGTTCTGTAGTTGAGTTGATTCAAGAACCAACATCACAGCACTCGGGGCATTCCCATAATTGCACCGTCCCCATCTTCAGTAGCCAGTGAAGAGTCCCGATACGAATGTTCTGAAAATAATACCAAAGTCCAGAAGTGGACGGACGAGCACAACTGTTTTCAGTAGGTGAATGCTAAGAAAAGAACATAACAACATAAAGGTATAGCCTTCCACCTCCTCCACCTTCTACCTTTTACTTCCCAAAGGAGGAAAGGCCTTCAACCAACTCATGCAAATTCATCCAATCCTTTGTTATTGTATGCAGGTCACCCTGCTTACAATTCATCATCCTTTTCACCTACCAAGGGGGAATAGGACTATTGTTTGCCTGGTTTTATTATCTCTGCTATTAAGGGTTGGCCCAGACATAATAAACCAGTTTATGAGAGGAAACTTTTGTTAAACATTACTATGGGAAAATGACTTATTGAAACACTGATTAAACCCACAAATAGATCTACACACACAAAAAAACACTATTAATCACAAGGTTTCATAAGATTTCCTGCAGTGGATCTCTTATACTCTGTCTTGTGTACTGTGCATTTAGACAACATTCTGTTCATTCAACTTGTTATGCTATCATCTCACTTGTTCCACTGACTACCACTTGTCTGCCTGCTTTCAAATACCCACTCCAGTATGGTTTTCATAAGTGGATGTGGCTACAAAACTCTGTCCTTTGTCCTGGCATTCTGAAAGACTGTTGTTTATCTGTCACTTGATGTTATCTTCCCATCTGTTTTCACCATATACCTCTTTGTCTGCCCTCTGTAACTGTTCCCCTCAGTATGGATTTATAACATACCCTATCCTTTAATATGGCCAAAATGTTCTATTTGGCTCTCTTTTATTTTATTTTTTCAACAACTCTTTTTACATTTCTAGATCCCCTGTACCTGCTATTATTTTCTAAATATTTGACCTATTCTTTGCATATCCAGTCTCATAACTTCTAGAATTTGTGGGTAACTGAAAAAAGAAAAAAGCTGACAATAACTGCGCTGTTCGTACCAACTTTGTGCTATCAATGCCAGATATGAAAAGTCAAAAACATTTGTGATGAGATTTACAAGAAATGCGGCAGGGAAAAACAAGAAGAGATAGAGTCACTAATGAAGAAATAATAACAATGGTAGGCACAGTGCCAGAACATCAAAGAATCAAATGGTTTGGCCATCTGATCAAAATAAAGCAAAATCAGTCAGCAGCTGGAGCGTACTACCTGAGAACAGCAGGCTACAAGTCAAGAAAGACATGGGTGAAGGGAGTAAAAGAGACATTACAGAAATGCAATATGCAACACCAGCTACACAACTAGCAAAAGACAGGAAACCACATCTAATTCCTCTCAGTTGGACAAAAGAAGAAAGAAGTTTTGGAAGGAAGGCAAATGAGGAAGGGGACTGGCCACCCCTCCACAGATGCCATGGCCTAGAATGTGTAAATGCCTAACAAATCATATCCCACTGGCAGTATCTGCTACTGTACTTTTAACCTTAAATCCACACCTCTAGGGATAATTCCCACCTGGTGTGGACTTCAGGTTGCTATGTAACAGTCAGAGGCCCCAATATAACTGCTATGTGGTTCAACTTGGTTTCCAGGAAAAGTACTTGTTTGGTTCTCATCCTTGAGGTACTAATCATGAAGACTGCAATCAGGGAGGGGACAAATCCCTTACTACCTACCATCTTGAGGGTCTACATAAACATTTACAAGATATACACACTAAAAAAAGTTAACAACACAAACACATACCTTTCTTCCCATTTAAAACCCACTGTGGGAACAGGAGAACATCCCCTAAATTGGTGTGGAACATTTTCTAAAACCAGAATAAAGAAAATTATGGCAGACCAAATAAAACACTAACAAGTAAGCATGAACAACTTAAATTAACAGTTTTTAAAAAATCACTCAAACCAGAATATTTTGATGTACAATTGAAATGTTCTACTAAATTACCAATGAGACCATTTTTATTTTTTAAAACATACAATTTATTTTATTAGAATTTCTGTAAAAGTTAATTCTCATTTATCCTTAAATATATGAGGGTTAGTACGAAAGTTTGGGAAAATATGAGGGTCCAGAAAGTTTTGCACTTCACTAGGAAGAAGTTAAAGCCTGTACACTACATCTAAATTGTTTTTAACCCACAAACTTTCATTAGATTTTCAGTAGCCCTCTGTATATTCACTTCTCCATGTAATTAACTTCTTCACCTTCCTAATTCCCTGACTGCAAAATAACTCTGGGTCAGGATTCACATATCCAGTTCAGTAATGATCAGTCCTGTCCATAAGAAAAGTGATGTCCATAAAGCAGATTTCTAAATGTTTGGAAACACAAAGAAAGCATTTGGTGTCAGCAAATTCTAGGGGTATGGGGAACTTTAATCATTTCCAACAAAAAGGTAGTCCTCCACTTATTGGCCACCGGCCATGCAGCCCTAAATCCTCAGGCTCAAAGACCAGCCTGCCTACACCGCAAAAGTTGTAAACACGTGCAGTAATTGTAGTTTGGCAGTCTCGCTTCTGAATGGGTAAGACAGCATCCAAATGTCACACTTCACCTTTTGCAACCAGGTCTCAACACCTGAATAAAGCAGGAGTAAACATGGATAGAGCTGATACAGTCACTGTTGTGACATCTGTTGCATGTAGTAGGCTGGTGGACAGTGACAAGTATCTAAGGTTAACCCAGCTAAGAAGTGTAACAATAGCTTGGCCAAGCATATCTATATCCTGTCTCTTAAATCAAGATAGGAGATATTAGGCTATCCTCCGAATAACGGGCACATATTATGGCGGCCGCAAAAACACCCTAATAGAGCCTCCGCCACGTGTCATTTGCGCACTTCCGGTGGCCTAATTTGCGGTTTTTCGGCGACTACTGCCACCGCCGAGGGTATCCCCCACGCCACTCGAATGGCATGGATTGGGGTTAAACTAGATGGCAGGGACTCACGAGCAGCAGCTTACGCATCTCCTGCAGCTTTGCTAGTGAGTCCCAGCCATCTAGTTTAGCCCCAATCCACGCAGCTCACGCGGCGTGGGGGATACTTTCGGCGATGGCGGTAGCCATAATATGTGCCCGTTATTCGGAGGATAGCCGAGATATTATAACCAACTTCTCATAATAACTGCCAGTAGAGATTTCTTTGGGCCTTAGGATGGCTATTGCATTAGAGAACTAAGCATAAGTGGAAATGTCCAATGTGCAGTGACAGTGATGTCGATTGTAATAACATAACATTTTTTCTCAGCTGAGTTAAGAACCAACATCATAGCACTGAGGACATTCCATAAGCGCTCTGTCCCCATCTTAAGTAGCCAGCACAGAGTTCCAGGTCTGATGCTACAAGCAGCAATCTGATTATATGTTTTTCTTTCTTTTCTCCTGAGTACTGAATGTTGGCCAGATTTCCCTATAATAGGGCCCCAGAACTCACACAAGGGAACAACTGTCCTTAAATCCTAAGCTCTAATTATGAACTGATTTTTTTTTTTTTATGTGGGCGGGTCTTGCTAGTCACACTCGTCGTCGCCATGGGTTGTTAGTCCAATGCTTCCCTATAGCACAATATAATACTATCATCTGGTAAGAAAGGAAGGTGGCAACCAACTTTGTGGTACAATTATTACTACATACAAACATTAAAGAAAAAGGTGGCCAAGAAGAAGATGGACTGATGACATTAAAGATATTCTACACTGACATGGAATGACAATAATCACTGCTACCTATGAAGCAATTGACTCCAAACTATTCCTTCCTCCCATTGTGGGGGGAGGGGGGGGACCAAAAGAACAGACCCACTGCCCCTAACAAGCATGTTGTAAGAGTAGACTAATCAGAGATGTTTTTTTCAAAGTCGGAGTGCATCTGCCTCAGGGGTGAAGAACCAGCAGTCTGCATGCAAATAAAACCGATCGGTAAAACCAATGTGCATGCAAAAGTCAGGTTCTGGAAAAAGACTAAAGCTCAGAAGTGAATGAACAACTAGAACTCTGCCGAAGTTTGCAGTCGAAGAAAGAAAGAAATAAGGAAGAAGAAGAAGAAGGTGTTCCTCTCCAACTGCAAAAGTGGTGACGGATGATGATGATGATGAAACAGTGAAACACAATAAGACTGTATCTTACCTTGTGCATGTTGACAAAGTTGTATAAAAAAGATGACTAGTGATGCTCTGTGCTACTCAGCTCTTGATCTCTTGTAAAAAGTCCTGACTTTCTGTGGTTACTGTGAAAAGGTTTTTAGTAACTAAGCAAACGTCACAGTAAACAGAGAGATTTTATAACAAGTAATAAGTCTGAACATGTGATAACAGATGATGGCAAAAGTGAAACAGAAATCAAAAAGAGAACAGGAATGGCTAAAACAATCTTCAATAAGATGCAAAAACATTTGATATCTAGAGAGATAAACAAGACTATTTAAAATGAGAATCGTCAAAATTTGTGTGTGCCCAAACCTGCTTTTGGTACAGAAACTTGGACAATTGACTGAGAAGATAATTATAACAAATTTGAAAACACCCACATATAGCAATGACAAGTTTCATTTTATAATTGTAACTACTACAATTCTGACAATAAACAACTGACACGTACGAGCGGCAGGATGCATCACACACTTGCCAAGTATCTAGGGGATTGTTGATAAATTTCAGTCCTCCACCCACACACACAGGACTCCCACAAAACACAAACAATGGCCGTCCGCTTTCATCGGTACAGCACATGCTGACAATGCTTATTACTGGAGTAAAGGAAGGCCAATGACAACAGGCAGCACCACATTAAGCCAGGCATATGTAACAAGTTAACAACCACAATTTATCTGGCACAGGTTACATGTTATATCATAACTACCAACACTACCTAGGAATGCTATAACACAATACATCACCGCAAGTATGATGTGATTAGCGAGATCAGTCTCTTCATTATGGACCAACAAATTGCGATGAAGATGAACTGGTTATCAATGCCTTACTGTCAGTCTACCACTCCTGCCAATTACACCCACATCGGCAGTCTCCAGAACATGGGAACTAAGTACCAGGTGTCTGCTATGGATGACTCACACCTGATCGCACAGATACACCTATGTGAGGTGCATTGACAGTCTTCTGATGACTCTCCTTCAAAGAGACCCTGCCCCCTGAGGGCTATAAGTCATTACTTGGTGAAAAGAATTTAGACCCCATGTCTGCTACCCAGTCATTCGTTGAAGTATCACCGATCAACCCAAGAGACTCCCCCCTCCGTCAACCAGCATTCCCAGTTCCTTCCCATCACAACTCTACACTGGTCAACACACACACAGTTACACAGTGCCTTCTGTAGCACTTCAAAGCACCCTGTCAACCAGCGTGCCATACAGCCACAGCTTTCTCAACCTTACCACACATAGGTCAACACAAGTCCATTCTAGTATATCATACAAGGCTACTAATTAAGGATGTTTCCTTCGAAGTCAATCTGCCTGGGTGACAAGGAACCAATAGTCTGCACACAAATAAGCCAGATCTGTGAAATGGATGTGTACCCAAAACTCCACTTCTGGTATAAGATCAAAGTCCAGCAGTGGATGAACAACTATAACTTTCTGTGAATATATTCGTCCTCCCCATGTGGGATGCAATTTTTCATTATTTTTAAGCCCCACCCTGGCTATTGACTAGGCCCTAATATATATATAACTTAATGGTTTAAAGAAGTTTCCAGGGACCTCTTCACGGGTGATCCTCATCCAAATGGTGGTACTTTGTGTCACCGGATGATTATCGCTCTGTGTGATGTCCTGGTGGGGTAAAAAGAAAACAGAACTTTCTGCCTGAGGTTATAGCCGATAAATGCTAAGAAAAAAGAAGAAAAGGAAAAGCAGGTATTTCAAACATTTCTCTCACCCTTAATCAAGCTCACTTTAAAGAAAATTAAAACTGCTGACCACAAGATCCCACAGACCAACATCAAAATACACAAGCTCCCTGACGGTGTTATTTTATCAATCTACATGCGCATGAGAGCAGTCCCACTGACATCCCACACGTGAATAATTCATGACATGGAAACCACAAAAGCAGGCGAGTAATTGTTAAGAACCGCTAATAAGCTGCATTAACTGCTTAAATAAAGTATGGTGGTCTGATGGTCGTATTGATTTTGTCTGTAACTTATAAACAAACAAGGTGACAGCTGCGTACACTTTAGCTGAAGCTCCTGGCTAAGCCAACACAACCATATGAAAATCTTTATATTGGAGGAATATTATTTGTTATTATTATTCCTCTTTTCTCACCCTGCATTCTCTCAGAAAAACACTGGGAAGGGGTGGGAAAGGTGGTGCATGATGAGCGGTAGAGTTTACCGTGTGTGTACTTCTAACGAGTTGTAAAATAAAGGACCATTTTCCCCACCTTCAGTCATACTGGAAACATAGGGCTAGACTTACAGACAGCAACTGTGTAGGTGATGTGGTCAACACACAACAGCCGCCTTTACTTCCTGTGACTTTGCAGCATGTTCTATGCATTTATATGTTACGTATGGGAACCCTATTTGCACTATGGGGAAAAAAGGGTATAAAGTCATCCATTAGTTGGTATCGAGGAGTAAGATAGAAGTAACCCCAGAGTAGGCACTGTTACAGCTGCTGGGGTGTGAGATGTTATGACTTCCCATTCTCTAGGTCAGTCGTTTTCAACCCTTTTCAGGTGGTGCCCTCTTGAATATATCTTCTTCTTTTTCGCGTTCACCAGCTGTAAACTCTGGCAGAAAGTTCTGGTTGTTCATCTACTTTTGGATCTCAGTCCTGTTCCAGAACCTCAGTGTTGCGTGTGCACCCGTTTACAGATCCGACTCATTTGTATGCAGACTACTGGCTTCTTGCCTCTCAGGCAGATGCACCCAGACTTTGAAGGAAGCTCCCAATCAGTCAACTCTTACGACATGCTTTTGGTAAGGCAGTGGGTCTATTCTTGTTTTCCCTATAATAGGGCCTAGGCAACCCACAAGGGGATCTTGAATTATATATGATAATACCCCATCCCTCGCCTAATTTTTTTTTTTAAATCATGTGATTAAAAGAGAAAAATCCCAAGCACTGTAAACAGGAACTTAGAGAAGACATCCATATAAATCAAGCGTAAAATAACACGAAAAACATTTGCAAACAACTGGTAATTTAGTGTCCAAATATCAGTGTAATAGCTGACACTGTTCTGTCTTCATGATATCTGCCACCTCTGGTCTGACAAATCAGAACAGAGATCACCTTCCACGTCAAGCTGGCAATGCTACTTTGTTTTTTTTTTATGACTGTTACATCTGAATTATTAATTAAACAAACTGACAAAACCACACAAAAAATATTATTACAGATTATTCAACAAGTACAATTAGACTCAATTTCAAAACTGCTTGATGGCAGCTTGGAGACAAAGATGAAGTAGAAGACAGAAGATTAAATATAGGAATTTAGTTAGACCCCTATTTCCAATAGGCCTCCATTTAGGGAAGGAATAAGACTGTCTTTCACTATCCCGGGCGAAGCCGGGCAATTAAATCAAAGTACACATAAGTTTAGTTGCGTATCCTTTACAGGACTGCGTGGACTCGAGGCATGGTGTCCGCGTCGAGTGCTAGAGATTCTGGGTTCAATCTCCGGTAAGGGCTGGGATTTTTTCATGTGGATCTGGACTTCAAAGTAATTCCCCCTGGTCGCTGGGTAGTGAGATCAGGCGCCTGTGTGTATTGTTGGGCACGTAAAAAAAATCCCTTGGCAGTTGGAAATCGAAAAGAGTATGCGCTGCCCGGGCAAAATTTGGAGTTTAAAAATTACCCAAAGTATTTCAGGATCCTTGCTGGTGCTACAGAGCCAATGCACTGTGCTGAGCTTCTTCCAACTCAGACTTGAGTTAGAAGAAGAACAGAGCACTTATGGGTTACTACCCGTGTGCCATGATGTTGATCTGTTGTTCAAACCTCAAATCTTTACAGGACGCTGCAGAACCAAACCCAGCGTTTATTGGCTGTTGTGGTTTTTCTAGGCAAATTTTACATTCAGTAGTTTGCCATCTCAGTACCATTTTCGAAACCAGCGCAAAACAAACCGTCTGCAGCAGGGATCGAACCCTGCAGCCTGACATTACAAAACGTGTTCGTGACCCCTAAGCCACAGACGCCAATATATATATATATATAAAAACAAGGTTTATTTCCCATAAGCCCCCCCCCCCCCCCCCCCACGTGTTTCCCCTTTCCCCCTGAAAAGCTCATTTTCTCAGTGCTGACACCTCTGCAACATCATATCCTCAACATTGTGTTCTGGCACATAAAAGAAGTACACTTTTTACCCCTAAACACTCAGGCAGCCATAAATACACTAAAATAAAACCAACAACACTTACATTATTCCTAAAACAGATTTCTCCTGCTGGCTAGTTCTGGTCATTCCTCTTCTGCCCTCTCATTGACCACCACTGACTGCCCTCAGAGATAAGAAATTCCTTATCATGCTCTCACTCAACAACCAAACTTTCAGCAAGGAAAGAAATACTCTTCTGGTGAGTTCAACACTGGAACACGGGTCAGAGTTCAAAGGTGAAAGGCATATGGTCACATCTGTCAAAGAGAAGTTAGTGAAGAAAATGAGATATGGTAAAGCAACCCCAACAGTGGAGAATATGTCTTACAGTCAACCAAGGCAAACTGTACAACAATAATAAAGTAAATACTTTGCTTGAAAGGCAGTTTTGTTGTTGTTTTTTGTAAAGATAATTTGCACCTATCTTATGAACTATAGAGAATGATAATATTAGAAAGCCCATTTCTACATGCATTCCTTTCTATCAAATGTAATGTGCTCAAGAAGGAGGGAAACAGGGAAACAGATTAACTCTTTCAGGACCACATTTTTTCTGGGGTTTGGACAGCGTTAATTTTAAGCGGATTTTTTTTTTTACTGCAACACAACAAAGCTAATGCCTTCCTGAAGAAAAAGTATTGGCTGTATTGGGACATATAATATATCAAATTAAAGATAAATGAGTGCAGAATAAATCTTAACTATTTAAATGTAAATATAGCAACAAAATATTATTAAAATCACACAACATTCAAGAATGTTAGGCACATATTAAGAT